GACTCAGGGCGGCTGACAATCAATTAAAATACATAAATAACAATACAGGTTTAAAATTAATTTAAAAGAAATATTAGAGATTGTCCAATTTAAAATATTGATTAAAACCCCTCTAAAAATTACCCTAGGCCAGTCCTGCGAGCTGGAATAACCAAGTCTTGAGGGCGCGGCGAAAGGAAGGGAGATCAGGGATAACCCTCATAGCTTTAACTGAATGGACTTTATTTCTCAATAAACATTAAAAACTATCCTATATCCAAACACATGATCAGAATAGGCTACCTAAGCTTTTTTTTTGGGGGGGGGGGGGGCTCAGGTACATACAATTCAAGTAAAAGGAAATTAGGTGTTATATTTCATTCCAAGTCTCAGGAAGATACTATTTAATCTACTGCAGGCATGTCAGACTCGTGATGTTGCGCGATGTATCGCAACCTTTTCCCCATTGCCGGCAATGGGGTGGACGTGATTTCAGTATGATGCATCCAGTTTGTGGGCCGGCAGTTTGACATGCCTGATCTACTGCAACAACACACATAGAATATCTCAATTACTCCAAATCACTAACTAATTCTGAATAGTGGAAGTCAGCTATAGTGCGATGGCTTCAAGACCTCAAGGGGTCTCTATAGAAAATAAGCCATGCTAATTACAACTAGGAACACATGTTGTCATTAATAACTGTGAAGATTACACTTATAAAATAGGTGTTTCATGTGTCTCTGAATGATGGCTCAGGAAAACAAACAGGAATAATACATATATTATGTATCTAGTCTCACCTTAGTCACACGTTCATCATCTGTCTCAATGCCTACACTATCAAGAATTTTCTTCAAATCTTTTGAGCTTGGAGAGTCATTGCCACCAAGGACAGCAAGAAGGTAAGCTGCAACGTAACGCATTCTGTGAAGAGAAAAGCAAACATTTGTGTATTTGAACAGCAATATATTTCTTAAATCTAGGATAGACTATACACTGTCTCAATTTCCTGAAGAATATATACACTACTCTCATAATTGCGATTCCATTTATACTTCAAAATCCAACCCTAGTCATTTCGCATGAAGTGTGAATGATCTAAGCTAACATTTCCAGTTCAGTCTCCTCTAGGTATGGAAATTAAAAATTAAAGTTTTTTGGGGGAATTTTGTGCAGTAAAGATTCAACAACTTTTGTTAATTCTGATGTCATCACTTTTTATTCTCAAAGAATGACATAGGCGTTTGAAAGAATATTGAACTTAGAAAGTCACTGCTTATTAATAGTATAAAAAACTAGATTAGCTAGAGACCCATCTTCCCAGGTATAAAATAAAAACTGAGTAATGCAAGTTCAAAGGAAGAAGATTGGAAAAGGCAGTACTCATCTGTATTGTCTTCTATCGCTATGCTAAAGATAATACAATGACTACATTTAAAAACTAGTAGCTGGGGAAAAAAGTATCTGAATCAGTTTAAACTCTGTAGAGAGATTGGTTTTTAAACTGGAGGTTGTTTCTCAAGGTATTTTTGGAAGACTTGTCTCTCTCCCACGCAGAGGAGAAAGTATAGATCCTGATTTATACAAGCTCCCCTTTAGATACTGTTCCCACTTTTTAGAATTCCACAGGCATTTTGTTTTAACTTATTTGTCGAAAAGTGCGTTTTTGATATTCCATTTTCGAGTACGGTATAAATCCAGTGGCTTAATCCAAACATTCTTTGTTTTTATTGTATCTTATCTTTTTTTTTATTTCACAGACCACCGTGATTATTCCATCCGGTTCCTCACGCCAATTCGAGAAAAGCACATGGCCGCCATGTCACCTCCTCCATCCAGGCCCAAGCTACATTTCTCGGCCTTTCTCCCGTAGACATACACCCGCAGCGGAACAAAGCCTGATCCCCACGTCTTGTGAACACCCCACGGCCCCCGAGGCGCCGGCTTCCAGCCCTGCCGCTACTTACTTCCCCGCGTTGTCCGCGCAAAGGCCAGGCCTCAGACCGCGCGTTCGCTATCACGGCGACAGCCAAAAAGAAAGGGCGGAGCCTACCAAGTAAGGTTCTTCCCTGCTCTGCAACAATCGGCTCTCCCATTGGGCGCAAAAAGCAGCCAATCCGACATCACGTAGCTGACCGAGGCTTAGTAAGCGTTCCGCCAATAGAAACACGAGTCTTCAAACGCCGAGACCGGCGCTGCATGGGCGGGGCTTTTCTGAGTATGATACAGTAGTCTCAGAGCGGGATCTGTTGGTGAGAAGTGAGGGCTTTATATCAGGGCCGAGGAATTCTGGGAGTTGAAGTCCACAAGTCTTCTTCAAGTTGCCAAGTTTGGGGACCCCTGCTTTATATAGTTTGAACTGGTGGAAGTGAAATTCTTGACTGCCACTAACCTGAAATGGTCTGAATCCTAAACCTATTAACTTGATAATTGCTTAGCTTCCGTTATTAATAGGCTACAATATATCCTGAATCACAGGCAGCATGTTTTAAAAATTATCAGCTGCTATGTAGGAAAAGGGGCAGAAGGCCTTCCTGACCCTTCTGAATGCATCTGGTGGATTGCTATAGTAGACCAATGTCTTTGGAGATTGTCGGTCATCCAGGTCATAAGTTATCCCAAAGTTGCTTTTTCACAAGGCAACTGGACTTTCTTGTTTTTCTTTGAAGACATTTCACTTCTCATCCAAGAAGCTTCTTCAGCTCTGGCTGTATGGTGGGGAACGGAAGGATTTATACTCCTTGCAGTACGTAGGATAACATAGGAGAACATACCCACCAGAACAAGATTCAGTAGTCCATCTGCATTTAAAAGACAAAGGCCATTCTTTCGAAGACAGTAAAGTCCACATTTTGGACAGAGAGGACCGCTGGTTTGAAATAGGGGTCAAAGAGGCCATCTATGTCAAAATTGAGCAGCCTTTTCTCAACAGAAGGAAAGGGATATGACATCATCTATCTCCAGTCGACAACAGTCCTTTCAGCAGTTCCAAGAAGGCTCCACACCCATTTGCACTATTCAGGTGACCCTGAGGACAAGTCGCGAGTTTGACATGCCTGCTCTAAAAGAATGCAAATGACCAGCTGTCTGCAAGGAGTATAAGTCCTTCTATTCCCCACCATCCAGTTAGACCTGAAGTAGCTTCTTGGATAACTATTTTTGTCTCAACACAAGAGGAAGCTTATGATTCTGTTAAAGATTTTTTGAACTTTGCCTATATTAGAACAGTCAACCAGAGGCATTTAGAAATTATGGCAATGTTCAGTGCAAAAATATGCAAAATTCCAGAAAAGTGTAAAGAGGCATTTTTTTTCCACAGAAGGATATGGATATCCACAGTCTTTTAAGTGCCCTGATTTGGAAGTAAACCCAAGAAGTTCAGTTTTTACTTTTGAATATAGGGTAAAATTGAACAAAGAAAATCCACATCCTTTTATGACTTATTTACAACAGTGACTTCCTGGTTGTGAGAAAATAGTTTTAGTCAAAAAGTTCAGACTATTTATACCATATTAAAGAGTGTGCGGTTGTAGTGAGTTTCTTTTTTATGTTTGATGTTTTTTATTCTTTAAAGTTTCCAGAATCCTTAGGACTTAGTTTAATAACAATAAATCTGAAATCCTCTTTGACACACATATTGCAACATAATTAACCCGTCATTGCTGAGCCTGGAAAAGCAAAGGTATCCTATTCTCACACCAGCGGAAGGTTTGTTGGCAAAGAGCAGATGATTGGAGAGTTCACTTGACCAGATCCTTGGCATGCAAGCTGCTTCCTCTTTGCGTTAAAACGCAGTAACCCTTAGTTTGCCTGAGTGAGAAGACTTGTGAATGCACGGAAGGAACGGGAGCAGCTCTTCCTTTAACAAAAAAAGTCCCGATTCTTGGAAAAAAATGAGGCTTCTGTCCTCAGCGATGTGCAAACGTCAGACGATCGATCGCAGCAGTTCCGCACTCTGAGCGCGCGTATTTTCCTCCACAAAAGTAGCGTGGCTTCTTTTTAGCAACGGCGGG